TGAACATGCTAACAGGCACGCCCCTGCCTCGGGGCCTCTGCACCCGCTCTTGCTGCAGCCTGAAGCCTCTTTCCTTCCCCCCCCCCAATATCAGGAAAGACGTTCACACATCCTTTGAGGCTCTTCCCTGCAAGGGGTGGAGCCCAATCTCCCTCCCCAAGGTTTTGTGACTCAATTCCAAGGACTAGAAGAAAGGGAAGGGATGGTGTGGGTGTCCAGAGACCCCTCACAGAAGCCCCCGCAGCTTCCCCCTGGATGACTCTCTCCTGGATCACTCACATGAGGGGAAGCCAGCTCGTGTGGCCAGGACCGCAGGCAGCTCTGGAGAAGTTCACTGGTCAGAAGCCGAGGCCTCCGCCAACAGCCCTGTGAGCGAGCGGGTCCCCTCTGTCGGAAGCCGCTCCACCAGCCCCGGTCAAGCCAGCCGTCCACAGCCTTGAGACGGGCCCTGAGCTCGAGGCACCGGGTTAAGCCACTCCCAGGCGCCTCACCCTTCGAGACCGAGACAGGGAATACAGTTTTGTTGTTTTAAGCGTCTACATTTTGAGGTAATTTGTTAGGCGATAATAGTCGATAAGCTTGTTTCCTCATGTCCTTCAAGTTTTCGTGGTGATATCACCTTCTCCTCCATAAAATAGAAGGGCGAAGAGTTTTGTCTGTATTACTGACACATGATGAAAAATAAATATTTGCTGAATGAATAAACGCAGGGATTTTTCAGCTTTATGCCCACTTATTCCCTGACCAAATTCGAGGTTCACTCAGTTGGTCATCGTGTTGTGATGCTAGATGTCCAAGGGTTCAGTCCGGGCTTTTATCTTTCTCACTCCACACAGGCTGGGAACGGAACAACTGCTTGTTTTGGGTAGCAGCGAGGCCGTCCAGCTTCCCTCCTCAGGCCAGGCCTGCTACGAAGACAAGCACCTTGAAGGCTGGTGGCCTGTCTTTCATACTTGACCGGCGATCGGTCTCTAAGGAGTTTAATTGAGTCAAACGGGCTCCAAAAGACACAAACAGACCAAGCAGCAGATACCCCAAGTGGAGGCTAATCAGATTGTCCTTGGTGCCAGGACATTCAAGCCTGTCATGGGTGGCGAGCCCGCAGTCATGTGGCACCAGAGGGGCAGCTGGATCAACAGGCCCTTGCAGTCCGCACATGACGCGGCCAGAGACTGAGTTGCAAATAAGGGAGACTGAGGAGGGAGAGGAAGTGGGGACCCTCAGGTACAACGTGGAGTGGCTGGCAGGCCCCGGTGGGAGGGGACAACTCCTAGAGTGGGGGTCCGAGTTCTTGGAAAGCCAGCCCCTGCTTTTGTACCGTCACCACTGCCGGTTATCTGTCTGTGAGCGGACACACTCACGGGCGGGCACCCTTCCAGAAGGTGGTCTGTCTCGACACTGACCTGAAAGGAGATCTCCATCCCAGACGGAGTCCTGCAATATCCTTGGGGTTCCGTGTCTGTCTGGTTATTATAATGACCTATATGGGTGTCCTGCATGGCAGCACACAGGCATGTAATAAAAAGGCACCATGTTTGTCACCGCATCGTGTGTCCTCTGGTGACGGGCGTGCTTAGGGAGGAAGGGTGAGTCGTCAGACCTCTGGCTCAAGTCCCTGCTCCAACCTCAACCAGCTGGGGCGGTCACTTTACCTTTGTGGCCTGGGTTTCCTCAACTGGCAAATAACTTTTTCTGTCTCCTGTCCCCTTCTGGCTCCAACCTGCTCTGAGCTGCTGGAGACACAGTAAAAACCACAGGCATCGGGAAAGCGCAGAACCAGGCACAGCGCGGGGCTGTGAGCGATCGTCATCAGGGTTGTCACTCAGCCGTGGCAAGGAGTCGCAGAAGTCAGGGTGCCCTGGCTGTGAGAAACGCCACATCTGGCCACCCAGGCAAGGGGCCTCACCGAATTCCAACGCCTGGAACGCGTCCAGTCTGCTTCCTCGGTGAACCCCCATGTCACCCATCCCACGTCTGCAACCCTGAAGCCCCGGCAGCCACCCTTCCCTTGTAGCAGGGGTCCTCGAACTTGTCAAGCAGGGGGCCGGCTCACTGTCCCTCAGACCGTTGGAGGGGCGGACTATCGTTTAAAAAACTTTTTTTTTTTAAGTTTTTTAAGTTTCTTAAACGACAGTCCGCCCCTCCAACGGTCTGAGGGACAGTGAGCCGGCCCCCTGCTTGACAAGTTCGAGGACCTCTGCGGCTTGTAGCCTCTCTCGCCTCATTTGAAGGCCCTTCTCAGCCCTGGGAGTTGGCTCAGCCCACTCACACCTGGCCCCAGTGAGAACCACCCAGGCTCGCCGGCTGCAGCCGCGAGGGAGAGCGCTTGCCGCGGAGCAAGGCGAGGCCCCGGGCCTTCCCTCTGGACGGGGCGCCGGGGCGGAAGCCGGGAGGGGAGGCCTGGGGGGAAGCCCCGGGCTGCGGCCCGCCGTCCTGGGCGGAGTGGCCTCGACTCGCCTTCCACCGGCTTGACCTCTGGTGGAGGCGGCGCCGTGGGAGCGTGTCACGCGCCCCGGGCAGGCTGCAAGCCGCGCGGGGTTGGCAGCCCCATCGCGGACGCCCGGCTCAAGGGCAGGGCAAGTGGCCGGCGCGACTCCGGCAGGCCCGGGTGGCAGGCAACCG